CCCCACTTGAGAAAAAGAAAATAAATAAGTAAAAGAACAATTCTTCAGAGATGTATCAAAAGATGAAATAAAAGCATACTCCACTTTAAAAGGAATCAATATTAATGTATAATATTATATAATATTTTAACATCAGATCTATAAGTTTTAGGAGCATGCGGTTACAATAAATTAGGGCTAATAATTTAATACTTATTACCCAATAAATATTGAATATTAACATTAATATACTATTTATTAATATTAATAGTCAATCTAATTATTAATATTAATGTAAACATATACAATAATTACTGTAATAGCAATAGAGAGAGAGAGATTTCATGTTACCATCATGCTGACTGACAACATCTACAACAGTCAATAAAACAGATGGTTCTGGGAACCTACCCAATAAACAGTCTCAGCCACACTTCAAAGTGAAGTATCCCTTTGAAGAAGCAAGGGATTAATCATATCCCTACAGAATGCATAGCATTAAACACCAATAGTTCCCATCTATTACAGGGAAATAGAATATTCTGGATAAATTGAGGTGTATAAGATCTAGCCCCCAAATTTTGCTTGGATGTAAACCACTTTCTATTTCCCTGTGTCTCTGAAAAATAAAAGTACTCTGAAGGTGAAACACTAAAGAGAGGGAAAGAAAGGTGGGAGGCAGCCTCCCATGTGCTTTCTCATAGGAAAAATCCAAAGCTGGCGAGGAAGAGGAATGGCCTTACACAGGCAACAAGTTTTGACCACGTTAGATCACAAGCAGACGTTTCCTCCGGGTAGCAAAGGGTATAAAGACTTTGCTTTCAAGCCAGATAGACACAAGTTCAAATTCTGATGCTGCTACTTAATCTCTGCGAAATCATGAATGAGTTATTTATCTTCTTTTAGTCTCAGTTTCTTAATCTGCAAATGGGGATAGTACCAGAATCTACTTCATAGGGCTGTTATGAGGGTTAAATAAGTTAATACACATAAAGTGCTTATTAACACAGAGCCTAGTCCAAATGAGCAAACAATACATTTCAAATATCATTAACATTTCTGATATCTCAGTAAGTTAACACTTAAACTGTAGCAAGTCTACATTACACACCCACACACATTTATATGCATCTCAGACAGCCCTCTGGATCATCCGTATATGGAGGTTAGTGAGGGTAATGTTCGCCATCGTACAGGACAATTTAAAAACTGTAATGAAATGAGCAGGCATTGTGTCCCACACTCACAGCACAGCCTCGAGAGGAGATCTAGAGAATGAGGGTCTGGGCTACAGGAAACCATCTCGGCCACGATCAGTGTCTTCAATTCCGGTACATATTAAAATCTTTGCTTATCATCAAAATAACATTTTGCTCACAGCATCAGGCCAAGATTGCCATCCCATGAATCACAAAGAAGAGAAAGAAGAGCCAGCAGGAGTATTTATAGGTCACTGACTTGATGCAGGGCCAAAGGATTCTTTTAACCACCATCTCTGCCAAAGGAACTATCTGTGGATTCTCCTAATGGTATCTTGAAGCATTTTAAAATAACAAATGAAACTGAAAAGAAAAAGATACTGAAACAGTTATACTGAACTGTTCTCTGAAGCTCATGACAAATGATGTAAAAAAATCTCATGAAAGAGAAACATTATTTTCCTTCTGTGAGATTCAAAGCACAAACTTAGAATGTAAAACTTGACAAAAGAGAGGGGAGAGGCGTGATAGAACCCTAATCTTATAACAGACCCGGACAATTGCTGTTCTTAATTATACGGCAGAACGGTGTAGGTGGGCTCCTTAAAGGCTGGGACCCAGTGTGTGTCACCTGCACAATGAGAGAGGAACCCTGACACATACAGGTCCCCTTCCACACTACCTTCTTAAGGAAACTCTTATGAATAAGAAAACAGTGGCCTTTACAGAGGATTAATTTTATTTAAATTGTGTAAACTAGAAATTTGTCAGTTTCTTGTGGAGGAGTCAGAGGAAGCTACATTTTATACTAACTTTTAAAAAATCTCATGTGATGCTAGTAACTGACCAAATTCTCCCTGGATTTCACATGTATCAGGAAAAGGAGCTAAGAAAAAAATACAGTCTTCTGAAATGTTTCCTGGATTCTTTCCTCTTTTTCCACAAAAATAGAACTACCCTTTTTTCCTTTTTTTTCTGATGGGAGATGAGGATTATATACGAGATTTGGCAGCTTCGAGGCACATATGAGAAAGCCAATTGTATAACTACAGGAAGTAGATCCCCAAAATTATTCACTTAGGAGAATTTCAAACTTTGGTGTTAAAGCTTCAAAATAAGAATCATCACCATCGCTGAATGCTCCCTCTCTCCAAGGAGCTGAGGAGTTCAGACTTGCCGATTACCAATTAAGGACTCTGAAAATGACAGACTTTTCGGCAGCCAGACAAAGCTGGTCATCCGGGAGAATCCATAGCTCCTGCCCTCTGTAAACCAAGAAGAGGAAGTAGAAGTCTGAGGAGCCTGGAAGAAACTTCATGGATACAGGGCTACAGGGATGGTGGCTGAGGAGCAGGAATTCCCACCACCCAAATAGAGTTCTGGAAGCCGGGGTCAACTGCCAGGCACGGCAACGCCAGTAATTGGTTCCCAGAGAAGTGCCTCAAAGCACAGAGACTAGAGGATGGAGCCAGGCAGGTAGGACACTGCATGCGGATGCAAGCAGACCCATCTCCCAGAATTAATGTGGCCACTGCTTCTCTGCCATCTTCCAGGTCTCCCACAACCTCAAGGTTCCTTCAGGTAGACATCACTTGGGTCACTTACAAGATGGATTTGTGGCACAGCTTCGTTCAGCAGAATGGTATCTCATCTCTCAAACCAAAAACTTTCTGCATTTCATGAATACCTGCTCATTATTCAATCAGAAGCATCACCTGAGAACTTGTTCATGAATGCAAATTCTTGGCCCCACACTAGACCTATGATTAAAACTTTCTGGGAAGGGCTCAGCAGTTTGTGTACTGACAAGTTTTCCTAGGGATTCTGATGCACATTAAAGTTTGAGAACTCTCGAGCATCCTAGAGCAACACAAAAATTAGCCTTGAAAACATCTGGATGCACGTTGGGCAACAGGTAGGTACAGAAATAGAAGAAACCTTCTCTGTCCACGATTGGTTTCCACTCCCAAATTATTTTACTTAATAGTTCCCCTTTGCCAAAAATATCCCCTCACATGCAGCAATTTTTTTATTGTGGTATAGCTGATTTATAGTGTTGTGTGTGCAGCATTTTATAATGAGCAATCTGCTGCAAATAGCCAGTCCCCTGGCTATGCAAATTCCCCTGCCTTTGTACCTTTGTAGTTTCTCTCAAAATTGCACATTAAAAGGTCTGTCTTTTAGACATTTTTTATCACCCATAGGGTAATACAAACCCTCCACAAGCTGTAGCTAATATGAACTCATACAATAATAAGTAATTTGGGGAGCAAGCACTCAAATTAGTAAGGTCTAGTTTCCTGTAGATTACCAAAGGGTGAGGAGGTGGAAATGGGGGAGAACTCAGATAAAATGTGCATTGACTTAGAGGCAGAAAGGAAGCAGAAAATTTATTCTGAACAGATGCCAAGCCTTTGCCACATGCTTACAGTAAGAAAAATGGAGAGTAGGGAAAATTATTTTTAAGACCTTCTTTCCTTGAGAACCAAGTTAATAATAGCCCTGCTTTAAGATATTAGGTAAATACTTTTTCAATGAAAGACATTAGGCAAACACAAAATATGAACATGAAATATGCCTGAAGTTACTTAAAGGATACCAGGCTATTTATCTTCCATGAACAGGAATTACCTGTCTTCAATGATAAAATTCAAGCAGATAAATTTTTGATAAAACCATTTTCTTTATAAGCTGTTAATAATGTATCATTTATACCCAAGGCTGGGACAAACACACCAGCCATTGAAATTCCTCAGCAACACTCTGGCTGCTGAATTTGTCAGCAATAGAAATATGTTAGCCTGCATGATTTTCACTGCGTTTACTCAAAGAAAAAAGTTGATTAGAAAGCAAGAGTGTAGAGATGATGTGATAGAGAAGAAAGTGATGAACAAAGAATAAGAATATTATTGACGCATCCATTTTAACTTTCAATCTATTTGTTAGATGTTAAAACAATTAATCCTTATTCTTTCATTTGGCAGATAAGAAGGCAGTAGCCCAGCAGTTCACAACCCTGGCTGTACATTAGACGAACCTGGAGAGCTTTAAAAAAACAAAAAACAAAAAACTCTGCCATCTCCACCACAGAACAACTGGATCATAGTGTCTGGGGATGAGACCCCGCATCGGTGACTCTGCTGCTTCACAAGGGTTGACAGACACTGTTCTAGGAGAGTCCTTTATGCAAATCAGTTTGAGACAGACTGGTTATTGGGGGCCTTTTGGTCATTTAGTGGACTGGTCCCCTCCATTCCTGAAGGATGAGGAGAAGGACACAGCCTTATCTGCTTAGCTTAGCATTCCTGGGAGATGTCAAATGTACCCTGTGGTCATGAAGGAGGAAAAAAACTTAATTCAGTGTATCTTGGTTACCCTTTGGTGGGAAGAGAGGGGAGTAGGCTGATGGTGAGCCACTGAAAAAGCATGTCTGAATTAACTGGGACGGTGAAGGCACAAAGGGAGGGAGCTGGGTTAGCTGTTATTCTTAAAAATGCTCCCCCTCTTCTTCTTCATCATCATCATCATCATCATCATCATCATTATCATCATCAGATACCTAAGGCAGCCCTAATACAGTACTTAGAACACAAACTAAAAGACGATTCACAAATGCCTTGACTTCTTACCTGGAAATGTAGGGAAGTGAGGACCTATTTAGACATCTCGGGAAGAAACCTAGATGGTCCAGAACCTCACAGTCTATGTCATTCTTTCATAATCTCTCATAGCAAAAGTGATAATTGTAAACTGAGGCAGAAAATTTTACAGGCAGAAACATCACCTGGGAGAGCAAATAGATATTTTAACATTTGTTCTGACTCAAGTAACATTAACTGGTACCAAATACAAGCCAGAGCCATGCAAAGTACTTCCATTTACAGAATCTCATTTATGACACATTGTCATAGTTTGTAGGGCTCTGTGTGCCATTTTCTAGTACAGAAAAGGAACTCTTGTAATAATTACTGTAAAGCTTTAAGACACTAGTTTTATTCTATATTTGATGTCTGTTTTTATAGTTTATTGTTGATGAGATAGTTTATATGATGCCAAGTCCTTGTTCAGATAAGCTGCTACTCTCCATGGTAATGTTCTCATAGAAAAATATGCCTGTTTTATAATAAATCACTTTGTGGTACTGTTTCCCAGAATATGTGGAGGCTGATATAGGGGTTCCCTCCTTGGTCCTCAAGTATTATATGCTGTTGCAAATCTTTTTTTCCTAGCAAAAACTGGACAAAAATTCTGATTTTAATTGTTGAGACCATTTTCAACTCTTATCTTAGTATATAATGTCAAATCCTATTTTTATCACTGACCCTTTTCAAACTCAATATAGCTAAACGTTAAATTCATTGTATTTATAAAACAGCCTTAGGTATAGCTAATCAATTCATTTTATGGCTTTTCCTTTGATTTTAATGCAGACTCTAGGATAAAAAGGTCACCCCAGTTGTACAGAACCCGAATCTAACAGGATTCTGTGCCTATTGGCTTTAACTATTGGCTTGGTGACAACCGTCTCTTCTAAAAATTTCCACTTAAGTGGAAATGATGCATTTTGGAAGCTTACTGGAAATTTTACTATATTTCACAGTGATATGGCTTTAAAAGATTACAAGTTTTGATTCCAATCAAATCTAGTGCAACAGCAGGTCAAATAAGGTTTTGAATGCTGCTGAGTATTTTATTCAAGGTAAATATTTACAGTACTGGTAAAACCAGTCGAGATGACCAAAGTCAGCGAACTTCCTCCTTCACATTTCTTCACCTCTTCAAGTTTATTAATCACCTTCAAATGACAACTTGTCCCAAGGTGGGTTAAAAGATTCAAGTTACAACATATACATTTTGATTACAAGTGTCCATTCAGAGAGAATGGTTCAAGAAGCACAGAGGGAAACTCATTACCTCCAGAATAGATTAAGGGGAAGTGGAAATAAAATGTGGTTAGGATTGCCCTACATGGGGTGTTAGGAAGCCTGAATGGTAGCCCTGGTTGTGGGCTGACTAACTGTATGTCCCTCCCTCAGAAGCAGACATTAAGTATCTCTTGGTCTTTAAAGTAGACATTAAAGCTTTCTTAAAGGTGAAAGCACCTGTAAAGAAAGAATACGAAAATGTCTTTCTCTAGGATTCCTTCCCATCTTTCAAAGGCTATATTTCTTAGGAAACTTGGAATTTGGTTTTAGTAGGGTCTTAAAAACGCTTCATCTTTCCAATTAAAAATGTTCCATCTCCTATAAATGTCACTACCGATCTGATATCTCTGATATCCTGCCGTGACAGTCCAGACATGAGACAGGAGAAAATGTGACAGGCGGGTGTAGATGCTATTCCCATCCTCTCACCACCCTGACTTTGCCAGGAGCCAGCTCAATCCTGGAACACTTCGAAAAACATGTCCTTACCACTGAAGTTCTAGAACAGGAATTCAAATTTAGATTTGAGTTTAGATCTGAGCCCAGACGTATGACTTCACACCTAGCTCTTACATTACCATTCATTCGGGGCTCAGCTTATTCCTCTCCATCGTAGAAAATAACAAATCACGTTTGCAAATGCTCTGAGATTTGAGTAGGCTAATATTTTAAGATAGAAGTAGAGGGGTATGGGAAAAAGAGCTTCTAGCACCTTGGGCTCTTGGGAAGGCATGACCTCTGTCATCACCATCGGATCATGTAACCTGTTGCAACTTGTTATTCTCAAGTGCTCAAAAATATCTACGGATGAATGATGATGACAAAGCAGATGTCAACATCTAAACTGATAAACTTCAAACAGGAGGAAATGTGACGCGTAGGAAAGGGTTTAAATCCCAGCCAACCATCATTAACTCTATGGTCCTCATCTATAAAATAGTCCATTTATAGTTTTTCTCATTGACATCATTTTGAATATTAAGTGACATATGACATGTAAAGAGCCCTGTCTAGTGCCTGGCACGTAATTGGTATGTGATAAATGGTAGTGATTAGTATGTAGCAAAATTTAACTTTATTAAGAAAAGTCAAATATCCTGGACATCAGATCCCATCTACTCACTGCTAATAATATTGTGAGCTACCTTTCAGGCTCCCATAGTAATCTTTGGCTTATAATTTGCCAGCAGCTTATCCTTAAGAGAAAACAATCTGTATTCCACAGAAGATAACATGTTAAATATTTTTCTTCATCTGAAACTTCCTAACCCTCACCACCTTAATTATTGAAGAAATGGCACTATAAGTCTGAAGCTCACACACTGATAAGAAATGGGGAAACATGGTGACAAAGTGCAGTGGACTCTTTGGGAAGAGTTAATTCAAGGAAAACAGTCAGAGAAGTAGAAGGAAGGAATGGTAAGCCAAATATGATGAATTCCATGACAAGTCCATAGAACCAAAAAAGATCTGCTCTCTAACCACATTAGTCTATTCATACCACAAACACTTGAATTAATTTTTTGAATTCCATTTTAATTTACCCATTGGCTTTTTTAGCCAGGCTCTTTGCACTAATTTTTTTTCAGTATTGCTCTAGATAATATAATTCTTAACATTTCACAATCTATTTAGAGTTAATACTGTACCACTTCAGAGAAAATGTAGAAACCTTGCAACCATATATTCCATTTAAAGTCCCCTACTCCACCATATGCTCCACTTTATGCTACAGTTGTCATATGTATTGCATCTACATACACTAAAAGCCCCACAAAATGATATAACTTTTGCAGTAAGTAGGCATATGTATTTTAATCAAACTGAGGGGAAACCTAGTCTTTTTTATTTATACAGCTATCTACCATTTCTGATGTTTTACATTACATCCTGTAAAATTCAAGTTTCCCTCTCCTATTATTTCCCTACAGTTTAAAGAATTTTCTTTAGGAGTTCTTATAATACAGATCTGCTGGCAATGAAGCCATTTTTGTTTCTGTTTATTTAAAAATATCTTTCCCTTTATTCACAAAGGATACTTTCACTAGGTTTAGATTTCTGGTCTGACAGTTTTTTCTCCTCTCTAGGATTTTATAGATAAACTGTTCCACCTTCTTCCAGCCTTCAGAGCTTTGGGTGGGAAGTCCACAATCATTTGAATCAGTCATACTGTATGTAGTGCGCCATTTTCCTCTGAGTGCCCTCAAGATTTTCTTTTTATCTTTAGTGTTCAGCAACTTGACTGTAAGTGTGCTTTGGTCAATCTTTTCTGTATTTATCTTGCTTGGGTTTAACTGAGCTTTTTGAATCTATGCATTTATATTTTCATAAAATTTGAAAACAATTTGGCCATTATCTCTTCAACACTCTTTTGGCCCTATTCTCATTCTTCTTCCCTTCTGGGACATTAAATATGTGTTAGACTTTAATTTTGTTCCACCGGCTTTAGGGTTCTGCTTACTTGTTTCAACCCTTTTTTTGAATAATTTCTACTTTTTATGTTTATGTTTACTGAATCTTTCCCCTATTATTTCCATTCAGCTATTAATTAAGTCCATATGGAGGACTTCTTTTGTTTCAGATATTATATTTTCAGTTCTAAATTCTTTCTTGTGCTTTTTTTTTCAAATGTTTTCTATCTTCTTACTGAAATTCCCTATACTTTCATTCATTACAAGAATATTTTCCTTTATCTCAATTAAAATGGTTGTTTTAAAATCATTGTCTGGTTATTCCAGCTTCTAGATCATCTCAGGGTTGGCTTTTAACTCTCAAGAATGGGTCAGATTTTCCTGGCTCTTTGCAGGCCAAGTAATTTTGGATTGTATACTGAATATTGTGAACGCTATGTTGTGAAGACTCTTCTCTGTTATATTCCTTTGAACAGTACTGATGTTTATGTTAATGGCAATTAACTTTGTTAAACTACAAATTTTGTCTTGCCTACTGTAGGTTAACAGGTCAAATCGCAGTTAAATTCTTTTAGTTCATTGTGTTGCTTTGAGTCTGTCCAATGCAGGCATGTTCAGAAGTCAACCAACCAAGAGACTTGGGCAAAGTTTACACACACCACCTGCGGCTTTTGTGGTCTGACTCTCTCCTTTCTGGTGCTGCCCTCTTACTTTCAGGCTGGTCACTCCAGCCTCTGTCTTCTTGTAACCCAGGCAAGAAGGATAGCAATTGTCATCAGAGCTTCAGCTGTCCTGTGCCAGGCAACAACTATAGATGCCCTACTACTCTACAAAATCTGCCTGCCTTTTTTCACTCTCAAAAACCTTCAGGTAGCTACTTTTTAATATTTTGTCCTGAGTCATAGTTGCTATCTGTGGAAGGTTAGTGTGTTCAAAGCTTAGTCCACCCTATAAAAAGTGGAAACTACAAATCTCTCAATTTTTAAGAAATATCTCAATTAAAAAATATATCTATATAATCAAACTTTAACTGGTGAACCATAGGCTGCCAAGTCTTTCTGCGTCCACTTCAATCTCCTTTTACTTGACCCCTACAAGAGTCATGTCATGTTGGCTCTTCTTACCATGGCCAATGAGCATCTTCTATTGCATATTTCAACACATTCTCAAGCCTTTATTCATATCTGGTCTCTACATCGTAAGTCTTTGTTTCCTAAGAGCAGGATGTGTATTGCTGGTAAACTAGAAGACTTCAGGTGGCTGAGATACAACGTTAAATAGCACTGAATCACACCAAGGGAAAGTTATTTTAATTCTTCTTCAACTCTTCTGATTCTGTCAAGGAATAAATCTCAGTTTGGTGCTAATATACCTTTCACACCTTTCTAATAGTGGCTAATTTCTCCCCTTTCAAACATAGAGACAGGAGGTCTCCTGTGAAGAACCTTCGCTAGGCAACAGCATCTAGCTAGAAATAAATAACATTATTTTGTTTTCACTTGATATATTTTTAGAGTTATCATGTATTTGTTGATACTGTTTTTCACTTGTGATAATGATATAAAGTTTAATTTTTAAATCAAATTCACCAAAATGAATTGGCTTTAAAATAATAAATGTCAGTATTGGTCATCATATGAATAGGAAAAAGATTTGTAGTAAAGTGGGTAATTCTCATTGCTATAACAGATATTGCCCCACTTCCCAAATCTCAGTAAATCAACACAGCAGAACTTAATTCTTGCTCATAAAAATTCCACCTGGATGTTCTGATCTATGGTAGTTGTCCACATCATTCAGAGTCTAGGAGTGACAAAATCTCAACCTTCTTCAACACAGTAGTCAGGGAAGAGAGAGAAAAAGCATGTCAGAGAGTATGGGAGGTTTTTACTGGCCAAGCTTAGAGAAAATATACATCTTTCTGCTCACAATCCACTGGCTAGAATCCAGTCTATGAGCACACTTAATTCTGAGAAGCTAGGAAATGGGTCTAATTCTATGCTCACGGAAAGAGATTTTGGTAAGCACAAAGCTTGGGAAACTGCAGAGTGTGGGCACCTCCATATGAGCTGATATTCCTTCAAAGCAGAAGGGAGGAGTGAGTCGTCCTGTCGCAGAAACCTCCCTTTTGTAAGGATGGCTCTAGATGTGAATGTCTCTGCTCCCTGCTCACCTACCAGCCCCCAGTGTTAAGCTTCCACCCCCTAGTGTTAAGCTTCCACCCAAGAAATGCAGAGACAGACAGTCCTCAGAAGTGTTCTGCCCATTTCAGCAGACTTCTCCCCACACAGGAGCAACCTGGGGTACTCAATTCAGCTCCAAGCTGCTCAAGGCTCCTGGTCCCTGGGCTTTGTCTTCCTAGCAGTTTCGTAATCACAATTTACTAATCCTGTCTCACTCTCTCCACAAAATCTTTGCTTTCTGAGAGTCCAATTAGCTAACCTGAAAGAGTAACCAGTGTTCGTGTTAATTGAAAGCTCTTCCTTCCTTCCTTCCCTCCAGGGAAATTAAGAACATTTTACCCCATGGCTTCCTGGAGTCCATGATGTTATTTCCAGTGTGGCCTGGGAAGATGCCACAACTGCAGCTCCTGGCTGGGCAGCCTCAGACCAGGGAGGGAGGGAGCCCCATTGAGGATGGTGGGACCTGCCTGACAGGGTCGCTGTCACTCCACCAATCCCAGTTCTAGGGTATCTGGCCTGTTCTGATTTGGCCCCTCCCTCATGCAAGAAAGGGTACTGGACCTTTAAAAGCAGGACATGCCCCTCCTCAGGATTTTTCTTTGACCTCCACAGACCACAGAGGATCTAATTCAGGGTCTGAGTTCTCTGCTTGGGCTCAGTAAATGCATCTGAATCAAATTCAAATTATTGATTTGGCACCATTGAGACATTCGCCATCATTTAAATTGTGTCCTACATCTTCCTTAAAAATAGTAGATTTTTAAACTAACAAGAACAGTAAGTGTCAAAACTTTGCTCATTCCCCAAACGCTGTAATTAAAGAGTCAACCCCTCACACTTGTTGGAGCACAGTGGACGGAACCCTTGGATGCTGGCCTTCACTCAGACGTGACCAATGCCAGTGGAGAAGGCTTCTGATCCTGAATCCTAAGCCCACCCTCCACACACTCCCATCCTTTAAAGAAAACGTATGGAGCACCTAGATTCAAAGATAGTTTGGCGGTGCCCTGGAAGGTTTTGTTTGTTAACGTGTTACACTGATTTTAAGAGCAACGTCATCTAAGTGGTCTTAGCTGGATTACCTGCCCCCGCAAAGTGCGGGTGCTGGAGCCAGGCTGCGGAGGCTGGAGTCCTGGACGCACCACTGCTGCCTATGAGATCTGGACTCAGTTATTTCACATCCTGTCTAGGATTTGCTTTAAAACTCTCCAACCAAAAAATGCAAGAGGGCGGCGGGTGGGGGTGACAGAATAGGTGAAACAGGATGGGCAAAATATTGATAATTTATTGAAGATGGCTAAGGTGTAAGTAACTGTCTACTTTCATGCTTGTTTGAAATCTTTATAACTCATTCTCAGAAGACACTTTTTATTATCCAAAGCATAAATAATTTTCCAAGTCCTTTCACAGAACACCTTTCTCATCTACTCCAGTGATAAATGGGAGAGAACACATTGGAAATTCTATCTTTATTTTGCAGAACAATTTCTTTTCGGCTTCCCTGTTCTCATAGGTTACTGGTATAACAAGAACTTTACTTTTTTCCCCTTCTACCCCTTCAGCTGTTCAGACCGAGGAAGCCATCAGATTCCCTGGCGTGTATTTCACTGCAGCCCTGGCCTCTTATAGGCCAGTCAAGATCCTAGGTATCCAGACACAGCTATAATTTAGTGTCATTCTCAGTGTTTGCTCTGAGATTCCAGCCCCTCGAGACCTCCCCTTTCCAAAAGGGGAGTGACTCGAGGCGGGAGGAGGAGAGGGCACGGGAAGGAATGTACCGCCTTCCGTTTCAGGCACCAGCACAACTGCGTTTTTCTCCCGTTGGCTCTTCAACATCTGGAGGGAGCAAAACACAGATGCCAAGCCCACAGAGAGGAGGCAAGGAAGGCAACATGCTGGGCTCAGTATATACTTTTCTTTTTCATCCTCACCTCAACTTTCCTCTGTAAGTAATGCACTGAGAGAAAAAAAGAGATCGCTTCCTGCTGGAGCTCCAGTAACACTCACAGAAACTGCTGGTTTCCCTGGAGTTATATTAATATAACTGATCACTGGTGATCCCTGTGAGGACCGCATGTGGTAACGTCAAAACTGTGCACGTTGGGGAAAGGCTATTCAAAACACTTTTCCCCAAATTATCCATTTTTACTTGTATCCCCACAAAATACGGACTTCTCTTTTGCTCCTGACAGATCATGTAAAATTCAGAGACTGTTTTCCATCACATCTTCGAGCAAAATTGAACTCTGAATATAATTTTATTACTTCATATATCTTCATCAGCTAACTTAACCTGGATCTGTTCTTTAAAATTCTTTTAAGTGAGAAAAAAAAGAAATCCGTTTGAATTTTATGTTAAAAATTTAATAATTATCACTAAAGTAAAGGTTAAAAATATATTTAAAACTAGCTAATATCAGCATTAGAGGAAAAGAAAGTATATAATGACAGTTCTAATTAGTACATTCTCTTGTTTTGCACTTCCGAAGAGCAGCAATTAAATATCTACTTAGACTTACGTGAAGAGTAAAACATTCTGCACCTGCTATACTGGTACCATTTCATTTCCTCCAACTACAGAGAGGTTTAGCTTCTTACACTTTAGACCTCAGGTCACCCTGGTGGATGCAAACTGTATCAAGAGCAGCACAGTGTCTCTGATGATTTAGGATGGTGTTCACCTACCATTTAATTTCCATTCAATATGAACAAGTACAAAATTATCTTCCTAGCTTCTACCAGTATCAGTACAGACTAGTGTGTGTTGGTTTCCATCCAAGCAGTACACATGGACCAATGTAGTTTCTGAGGGTTGGAACACTGTCATTCACTGTCTGGGTTTTGAGCAGACCCCTTCCTCTGGACCTTGGATTCTTTGCCTCTTTCTTTGGGCAATTATTGTGAAAACACTTTGTAAAATGTAAAGCATTCACTCAAAAACTTTTGGGGGTCCTACCTACCTGTAAAAGCACTATGCCAGACTGACAGGTTGCCTTTGGGCAATGGATGCCTGTGGCAAAGACAACGTGCTGACTAAATATTCCCCTTGTTCCCCCACACTTCCCAGCCTCTTTG